GGAGCCACAAAAATTATCACTCACGATACCTGGAGCCACAAAAATTATCACTCACGATACCTGGAGCCACAAAAATTATCACTCACGATACCTGGAGCCACAAAAATTATCACTCACGATACCTGGAGCCACAAAAATTATCACTCACGATACCTGGAGCCCACAAAAATTATCACTCACGATACCTGGAGCCACAAAAATTATCACTCACGATACCTGGAGCCACAAAAATTATCACTCGCGATACCTGGAGCCACAAAAATTATCACTCACGATACCTGGAGCCACAAAAATTATCACTCACGATACCTGGAGCCACAAAAATTATCACTCACGATACCTGGAGCCACAAAAATTATCACTCACGATACCTGGAGCCACAAAAATTATCACTCACGATACCTGGAGCCACAAAAATTATCACTCACGATACCTGGAGCCACAACCTCAAATTTAACTATAAAATATCTTGGCTCTGAAAATCGAAAATATCATCATGTTGATCAGTAACACATCATGTTGTTGATCAGTAACTTATGTTGATCAGTAACACATCATGTTGATCAGTAACTTATGTTGATCAGTAACACATCATGTTGTTGATCAGTAACTTATGTTGATCAGTAACACATCATGTTGTTGATCAGTAACTTATGTTGATCAGTAACACATCATGTTGTTGATCAGTAACTTATGTTGATCAGTAACACATCATGTTGTTGATCAGTAACTTATGTTGATCAGTAACACATCATGTTGTTGATCAGCAACTTATGTTGATCAGTAACACATCATGTTGTTGATCAGTAACTTATGTTGATCAGTAACACATCATGTTGTTGATCAGTAACTTATGTTGATCAGTAACACATCATGTTGTTGATCAGTAACTTATGTTGATCAGTAACACATCATGTTGTTGATCAGTAACTTATGTTGATCAGTAACACATCATGTTGTTGATCAGTAACTTATGTTGATCAGTAACACATCATGTTGTTGATCAGTAACTTATGTTGATCAGTAACACATCATGTTGATCAGTAACTTATGTTGATCAGTAACACATCATGTTGTTGATCAGTAACTTATGTTGATCAGTAACACATCATGTTGTTGATCAGTAACTTATGTTGATCAGTAACACATCATGTTGTTGATCAGTAACTTATGTTGATCAGTAACACATCATGTTGATCAGTAACTTATGTTGATCAGTAACACATCATGTTGTTGATCAGTAACTTATGTTGATCAGTAACACATCATGTTGTTGATCAGTAACTTATGGTGATCAGTAACACATCATGTTGTTGATCAGTAACTTATGTTGATCAGTAACACATCATGTTGTTGATCAGTAACTTATGTTGATCAGTAACACATGTTGTTGATCAGTAACTTATGTTGATCAGTAACACATGTTGTTGATCAGTAACTTATGTTGATCAGTAACACATCATGTTGTTGATCAGTAACTTATGTTGATCAGTAACACATCATGTTGTTGATCAGTAACTTATGTTGATCAGTAACACATCATGTTGTTGATCAGTAACTTATGTTGGTCAGTAACACATCATGTTGATCAGTAACTTATGTTGATCAGTAACACATCATGTTGTTGATCAGTAACTTATGTTGATCAGTAACACATCATGTTGTTGATCAGTAACTTATGTTGATCAGTAACACATCATGTTGTTGATCAGTAACTTATGTTGATCAGTAACACATCATGTTGATCAGTAACTTATGTTGATCAGTAACACATCATGTTGTTGATCAGTAACTTATGTTGATCAGTAACACATCATGTTGTTGATCAGTAACTTAGGTTGATCAGTAACACATCATGTTGATCAGTAACTTATGTTGATCAGTAACACATCATGTTGTTGATCAGTAGCTTATGTTGATCAGTAACACATCATGTTGTTGATCAGTAACTTATGTTGATCAGTAACACATCATGTTGATCAGTAACTTATGTTGATCAGTAACACATCATGTTGTTGATCAGTAACTTATGTTGATCAGTAACACATCATGTTGTTGATCAGTAACTTATGTTGATCAGTAACACATCATGTTGATCAGTAACTTATGTTGATCAGTAACACATGTTGTTGATCAGTAACTTATGTTGATCAGTAACACATCATGTTGATCAGTAACTTATGTTGATCAGTAACACATCATGTTGTTGATCAGTAACTTATGTTGATCAGTAACACATCATGTTGATCAGTAACTTATGTTGATCAGTAACACATCATGTTGTTGATCAGTAACTTATGTTGATCAGTAACACATCATGTTGTTGATCAGTAACTTATGTTGATCAGTAACACATCATGTTGATCAGTAACTTATGTTGATCAGTAACACATCATGTTGTTGATCAGTAACTTATGTTGATCAGTAACACATCATGTTGTTGATCAGTAACTTATGTTGATCAGTAACACATCATGTTGTTGATCAGTAACTTATGTTGATCAGTAACACATCATGTTGTTGATCAGTAACTTATGTTGATCAGTAACACATCATGTTGTTGATCAGTAACTTATGTTGATCAGTAACACATCATGTTGTTGATCAGTAACTTATGTTGATCAGTAACACATCATGTTGTTGATCAGTAACTTATGTTGATCAGTAACACATCATGTTGTTGATCAGTAACTTATGTTGATCAGTAACACATCATGTTGTTGATCAGTAACTTATGTTGATCAGTAACACATCATGTTGTTGATCAGTAACTTATGTTGATCAGTAACACATGTTGTTGATCAGTAACTTATGTTGATCAGTAACACATCATGTTGTTGATCAGTAACTTATGTTGATCAGTAACACATCATGTTGTTGATCAGTAACTTATGTTGATCAGTAACACATCATGTTGTTGATCAGTAACTTATGTTGATCAGTAACACATCATGTTGATCAGTAACTTATGTTGATCAGTAACACATCATGTTGTTGATCAGTAACTTATGTTGATCAGTAACACATCATGTTGATCAGTAACTTATGTTGATCAGTAACACATGTTGTTGATCAGTAACTTATGTTGATCAGTAACACATCATGTTGTTGATCAGTAACTTATGTTGATCAGTAACACATCATGTTGATCAGTAACTTATGTTGATCAGTAACACATCATGTTGTTGATCAGTAACTTATGTTGATCAGTAACACATCATGTTGATCAGTAACTTATGTTGATCAGTAACACATCATGTTGTTGATCAGTAACTTATGTTGATCAGTAACACATCATGTTGATCAGTAACTTATGTTGATCAGTAACACATCATGTTGTTGATCAGTAACTTATGTTGATCAGTAACACATCATGTTGATCAGTAACTTATGTTGATCAGTAACACATGTTGTTGATCAGTAACTTATGTTGATCAGTAACACATCATGTTGTTGATCAGTAACTTATGTTGATCAGTAACACATCATGTTGATCAGTAACTTATGTTGATCAGTAACACATCATGTTGTTGATCAGTAACTTATGTTGATCAGTAACACATCATGTTGTTGATCAGTAACTTATGTTGATCAGTAACACATCATGTTGTTGATCAGTAACTTATGTTGATCAGTAACACATCATGTTGATCAGTAACTTATGTTGATCAGTAACACATCATGTTGTTGATCAGTAACTTATGTTGATCAGTAACACATCATGTTGATCAGTAACTTATGTTGATCAGTAACACATCATGTTGTTGATCAGTAACTTATGTTGATCAGTAACACATCATGTTGATCAGTAACTTATGTTGATCAGTAACACATCATGTTGTTGATCAGTAACTTATGTTGATCAGTAACACATCATGTTGTTGATCAGTAACTTATGTTGATCAGTATCACATCATGTTGATCAGTAACTTATGTTGATCAGTAACACATCATGTTGTTGATCAGTAACTTATGTTGATCAGTAACACATCATGTTGTTGATCAGTAACTTATGTTGATCAGTAACACATCATGTTGTTGATCAGTAACTTATGTTGATCAGTAACACATCATGTTGTTGATCAGTAACTTATGTTGATCAGTAACACATCATGTTGTTGATCAGTAACACATCATGTTGTTGATCAGTAACACATCATGTTGTTGATCAGTAACACATCATGTTGTTGATCAGTAACTTATGTTGATCAGTAACACATGTTGTTGATCAGTAACTTATGTTGATCAGTAACACATGTTGATCAGTAACTTATGTTGATCAGTAACACATCATGTTGTTGATCAGTAACACATCATGTTGTTGATCAGTAACAAATCATGTTGTTGATCAGTAACACATCATGTTGTTGATCAGTAACACATCATGTTGTTGATCAGTAACACATCATGTTGTTGATCAGTAACACATGTTGTTGATCAGTAACTTATGTTGATCAGTAACACATCATGTTGATCAGTAACACATCATGTTGTTGATCAGTAACACATCATGTTGATCAGTAACACATCATGTTGTTGATCAGTAACTCATGTTGATCAGTAACACATCATGTTGTTGATCAGTAACACATGTTGATCAGTAACACATCATGTTGTTGATCAGTAACACTTGTTGATCAGTAACACATCATGTTGTTGATCAGTAACACATGTTGATCAGTAACACATCATGTTGATCAGTAACACATGTTGATCAGTAACACATGTTGTTGATCAGTAACATTCCTTATGACTGGTGTGATCGTCATCCTCCTCTCTCTTGCACAAACATCAATTATATCAAAGTCGGATTTACTGTCTTTGTCTTCATCCATTAAACAGTGAAGGTCTTTTATGACTATAACATCAATTATTAATCAATGTTGTCAACGTGTATTTTGATTTTCATGTTTTCTTTATTGTTCTCATGCCCCATCATTCGACCAATCCCTTGGAAATCTCAGTATCTCTTTCAATTACTCAAGACTTTTTCCTCACAGATCTGCCTGATGAGGAGCCCCGAATCAGTGGTGGAGGGTCTGGGCACCAGGTGCATGACATAGTGCTGGTGAACTGCTCCTCCCCCGGGTCACAGCCTCCAGCATCCCTCACATTCTACGTCAACCAGGAGCTGGTAACTTCTCATCCACCACCAGTACGTGGTTACCCACTCACGAAATCATTATAACATGATTTTAAACAAATCACACAACGGGTGGTCTGAAACCCATGGTAAGCTAGTCCAAAACTGGCAGACCAGTGTGTTAACCACTGGTCTTTACCGGCCTAACAACATTTATCGTACACTTCAAGAATTGAGACACGCAACATATGGGAATCTTTATTGAAGAAACGTTTCGCCACACAGTGGCTTCATCAGTCCAATACAAAGTAGAAATCGGTAAGGAGAGGAGTACGAGGTAATCAGTCCCTCAGCCTGGAGTCGATGTGTTAGTCCATCATTCTTACAAGACTGATGGACTGAACACCTCGACTCCAGGCTGAGGAACTGATTATCTCATACTCCTCTCCTTACCGATTTCTACTTTGTATCGGACTGATGAAGCCACTGTGTGGCGAAACGTTTCTTCAGTAAAGATTCCCATATGTTGCATAAGTGTCTCAATTCTCAACTTGTCGGTTTTCAAAACCATTCATCACATCATACACTTGCGAGTTTTTTTATTCGCTTACCATGAGTTTGAACCTCTCTCATTATGTGATTTGCTTGCAAGAGTGTTATTACGATTTCGTGAGTCATGATGGCGGCTTTGAGGGTACTAGAGCTAGAGCAAGCAAACATCATGCCTGCCAAGAGTCTTCTGTAAAATAAAACCTACAACTGTGGACACAGTGGGGCCAATGCCAACATTATTATTGTGTATAAAAATACATCTGTTAGGTCGGCATGAACCAGTAAGTAAGTTTAGTCAGGTATACACAAATACAGTTACATAGATTATCATACATAGCATATGTGGGATAACCCAAAAAAGTCAGTGACTTCTTTCCATTTGGGTCCTTTTATTACCATATTATTAAATTATAAAAGAGATAATATCTTGTTATTATATTATAAAGGAGATAATATCTTGTTATTATATTATACCGGAAATCATATCTTATTATACTATGAAGAAGATAATATCTTATTATTATACTCTAAAGAAAATAGTCTAGGAATAAAGTAAATAAGTTATTAATATTTACATGTGTTAGCTAGAAAAATAGCTAACACATGCTATGACTGGCTTTGACATGTGCGGGTAGTCTGTTCCATTCCTTTATTGCTGTACAATAAAAGGTGTTTGAAGCCTGGCCACTGACTGTGGGTACTACAAAGTTGTGCTCTCTCCCCCTAGTACTATGATTGCTTTGGTTCCCAACCTTGACAAAATTGGCAGCAAGACATTCTGGACACTGTTTGTGAGCAACTATATAAACTTGATTTAACTTCAGTTGTTTTACTGTGTCTTCAACATTCAGCATATCCAACTGCTGTAATTCATCCTGGCCTATATGTTCTCTTGGTCCCAGCCCCAGGATGAATCTTTCCATTTTGTTCTGGGTGATTTGCGCTCTATCTTCCATTTCTTTTTTTGTCAATGCAGAGTACCATGAAGAGCAAGCGTAGTCCATATGACAATGTATAATGGCTAGACATAGGGTCCTGCGAGCCTCAGTAGGTAGACACTGTGCTTGTCTGTAGAGGAACTTCAGTCTGGTATTCGCTTTCTTTACTACACTGTTCCCTAACAATTCTTCTGACATGCATAGGTCAATGGGGATTCCCAGATATTTTACTGATGAAACTGAAGTGATGGGCTCCCCATTACACTGGACATTAAAATTATTTACCCTTCTCAGTTTATCTTTCGTGCCAAAGAGTATGGCTTCCGTGTGACGATAGTTTGTTGTCTACTAACCATTTGTTGCAGGACTTCAGTTCTAGTGTTATTACATTATCTATATCTTGTGGGTCTTTACCTAACATTAATAGAGAACTTTCATCCACATACAGTAGGAGTTTGCACTTGACACCGATGGGCATATTGTTTATACAACATAGGAATAAAAGCGACCCAGAATAGAACCTTGGGGAACTCCACGTGCTATCGACAGGGATTCTGATTCTGTTTTGTTGATTTTGATGATTTTGCTTCCTGTTCCTAAGGTAGGACTTAAACCAGTCTATGGAACCTTATCCGATAACTTGAAGTTTCTTTCATTATATATTGTGGTTGACAGAATCGAAGGCCTTTTGCAGGTCTAAGGTTACCATACCTATGAGGTTCCCCATTGACATTTCAGTTCTCAGGTAATCCATCAGATTAATTAGGGAGGTGTCGGTTGAGTAAGATCTTCTAAAGCCCGATTGATAGCTATGGAGAATGTTGTTGTCATTAAGGTACTTAACTACTTGAGAGTACACCGCCCTCTCTAGAATTTTAGATATTATACTGAGTATACTAACAGGCCTATAGTTGTTTACATCAGACCTACTATTTTTTCTTGAAGATAGGAGTAACTCTGGCCTCCCTCCGGTATGGTATTAGTAGTGATGGACAAATTTATTATGTGAGCAATGAGGATTGACAATTTAGAAGCACCATCTTTTAGGAACTTAGACGGGATGTTATCAGGGCCAGTGCTCTTAGTTGGGTTTAACCTGCTTAATTCTTTTTGCACGAAGTCATGAGATACACTTACTAGTTGACAAGCGTTTGGGGTTACCCTTTATTGGTATAGTATGTTTTAGACTTATCAGAGTCTGTGTTAAAGGTATTTGATGCAGCTGGTAGTTTACTTACTAGTGTTGATGCGACAGTTGTGTAGTGTGAATTAAAACAATTTGCCACTTTAGTTGTTTCGTGGCATATCTAGTTATCGATATTTAGTATTATGTTAGATCTATCTACTGGTTTATGGCTATACCCCAACTGTTTTATTGTTGCCAGAACTTTCAAGGGTTATTCTTGAACTCTTCAATTTTTGAGCAATAGTGCCTTGCCTTTGCTCTTTTTATAAGTCTCTGCACTCTGTTCCTCACCTTTGGAATTCATTTAGTGGTGAAATATCTTGTTTGTTTGCCTTACATCTTTTTAGCAGCTGGTCTCTGAATTTCATATTATCTAATATCTCAGTAGTCATCCAGGGTTCAGTTCTTCGTTTAATCCTAACCTCTTTAACTGGTGCAATATTATCAAGGATGGTAGTGAACATTGTTTTGAATTTTTCCCAGGCATCGTTTACGTCCGTGCAACTTGTTATCTCTGTCCAGTCACAATTGTGTAGCCTATTTACCAGTGTTTCTTTACTGTAGTTTCTAGTTGACCTCATTTTTATTGTCCTGTGTAGGCCTATCCTATCCCTAGTGATTTTCCTGGTGCAGTAAATGATGAAATGATCACTAAGACCTGTGGTAATGACGCCTGACTGACTAATGTTCTCAGAGCGGTTACAAAGTAGCATATGGTCAGTTAGGGTGACTGAGAATTGTGCGATCCAATTCGGTGTATTAATTAATTGACTGTACCTCCCGTCTCCAGGACTCAAGTCCAGCCTGCCGGTTCCCCTGAATCCCTTCATAAATATTACCTTGCTCACACTCCAACAGCACGTCAAGTCCTAAAACCCATTTGTCTTAATTCGCTCCTACCTAACACGCTCACGCATGCTTGCTGGAGGTCCAAGTTCCCCACATACACAAAAACCTTTACCCCCCCAACCTATCCTATGCCGATCCCTACCCCACCTTCCCTCCACTACAGATTCATATACTCTCGAATGTATATATATATATTATATATATATATAATATATATATTATATATATATAATATATATATATATATATATATACTACCCAAGAAAGCAATACATTCCTGTTGTTTGAAATTCACAAGTTAGACATGTATGGAGACATGTATGGAGACATGTATGGAGAGTGCATTTTGTAACTGGTTCATCAAGAGACAACGTAGAAAGGATATAATTAAATAAATATAAACATGAAGACACAATAACAAAAATACTCAGATACCTGCGTCAGTTGTGTCCGCCATGATGCAGAGAAGCATAACACAGAGGTGATGCTGCTAGCCAAGCTCACCTTACCTCTGCATTTACTGTAGATCTCTGGTGGGAACGTCTGGTGGAACGTCTGGTGAGAACGTCTGGTGAGAACGTCTGGTGAGAACGTCTGGTGAGAACGTCTGGTGGGAACGTCTGGTGGGAACGTCTGGTGGGAACGTCTGGTGAGAACGTCTGGTGAGAACGTCTGGTGGGAAAGTCTGGTGAGAACGTCTGGTGGAACGTCTGGTGAGAACGTCTGGTGAGAACGTCTGGTGGGAACGTCTGGTGGGAACGTCTGGTGGGAACGTCTGGTGAGAACGTCTGGTGAGAACGTCTGGTGGGAAAGTCTGGTGAGAACGTCTGGTGAGAACGTCTGATGAGAACGTCTGGTGGGAACGTCTGGTGGGAACGTCTGGTGGGAACGTCTGGTGAGAACGTCTGGTGAGAACGTCTGGTGGGAAAGTCTGGTGAGAACGTCTGGTGAGAACGTCTGGTGGGAACGTCTGGTGGGAACGTCTGGTGGGAACGTCTGGTGAGAACGTCTGGTGAGAACGTCTGGTGGGAACGTCTGGTGGGAACGTCTGGTGGGAACGTCGGGTGGGAACGTCTGGTGAGAACGTCTGGTGGGAACGTCTGGTGGGAAAGTCTGGTGAGAACGTAGGGTGGGAACGTCTGGTGCGAACGTCTGGCGGGAACGTCTGGTGGGAACGTCTGGTGGGAACGTCTGGTGAGAACGTCTGGTGGGAACGTCTGGTGGGAACGTCTGGTGAGAACGTCTGGTGAGAACGTCTGCTGGGAAAATCTGGTGGGAACGTCTGGTGAGAACGTCTGGTGGGAACGTCTGGTGGGAACGTCTGGTGGGAACGTCTGGTGGGAACGTCTGGTGGGAACGTCGGGTGGGAACGTCGGGTGGGAACGTCTGGTGGGAGCGTCTGGTGAGAACGTCTGGTGGGAACGTCTGGTGGGAACGTCTGGTGAGAACGTCTGGTGGGAACGTCTGGTGGGAACGTCTGGTGGGAACGTCTGGTGGGAACGTCGGGTGGGAACGTCGGGTGGGAACGTCGGGTGGGAACGTCTGGTGAGAACGTCTGGTGGGAACGTCAGGTGGGAACGTCTGGTGGGAACGTCTGGTGAGAAAGTCTGGTGGGAACGTCTGGTGGGAACGTCTGGTGGGAACGTCTGGTGGGAACGTCTGGTGGGAACGTCTGGTGGGAACGTCTGGTGGGAACGTCTGGTTGGAACGTCTGGTGGGAACGTCTGGTGGGAACGTCTGGTGGGAACGTCGGGTGGGAACGTCTGGTGGTAACGTCTTTTGGTAGCGTCTGGTGGGAACGTCTGGTGAGAACGTCTGGTGGGAACGTCAGGTGGGAACGTCTGGTGGGAACGTCTGGTGAGAACGTCTGGTGGGAACGTCAGGTGGGAACGTCTGGTGGGAACGTCTGGTGAGAACGTCTGGTGGGAACGTCGGGTGGGAACGTCTGGTGGGAACGTCTGGTGGGAACGTCTGGTGGGAACGTCGGGTGGGAACGTCGGGTGGGAACGTCTGGTGGGAGCGTCTGGTGAGAACGTCTGGTGGGAACGTCTGGTGGGAACGTCTGGTGAGAACGTCTGGTGGGAACGTCTGGTGGGAACGTCTGGTAAGAACGTCTGGTGGGAACGTCTGGTGGGAACGTCTGGTGGGAACGTCTGGTGGGAACGTCGGGTGGGAACGTCGAGTGGGAACGTCTGGTGAGAACGTCTGGTGGGAACGTCAGGTGGGAACGTCTGGTGGGAACGTCTGGTGAGAAAGTCTGGTGGGAACGTCTGGTGGGAACGTCTGGTGGGAACGTCTGGTGGGAACGTCTGGTGGGAACGTCTGGTGGGAACGTCTGGTGGGAACGTCTGGTTGGAACGTCTGGTGGGAACGTCTGGTGGGAACGTCTGGTGGGAACGTCGGGTGGGAACGTCTGGTGGTAACGTCTGGTGGTAACGTCTGGTGGGAACGTCTGGTGAGAACGTCTGGTGGGAACGTCAGGTGGGAACGTCTGGTGGGAACGTCTGGTGAGAAAGTCTGGTGGAACGTCTGGTGGGAACGTCGTCTGGTGGGAACGTCTGGTGGGAACGTCTGGTGAGAACGTCTGGTGGGAACGTCTGGTGGGAACGTCTGGTGAGAACGTCGTGTGAGAACGTCTGGTGGGAACGTCTGGTGGGAACGTCTGGTGGGAACGTCTGGTGGGAACGTCTGGTGGGAACGTCTGGTGGGAACGTCTGGTGAGAACGTCTGGTGGGAACGTCGGGTGGGAACGTCTGGTGAGAAAGTCTGGTGGGAACGTCTGGTGGGAACGTCTGGTGGGAACGTCTGGTGGGAACGTCGGGTGCGAACGTCGGGTGCGAACGTCGGGTGGGAACGTCTGGTGGGAACGTCTGGTGGGAACGTCTGGTGAGAACGTCTGGTGGGAACGTCTGGTGGGAACGTCTGGTGAGAACGTCTGGTGGGAACGTCTGGTGGGAACGTCTGGTGGGAACGTCGGGTGGGAACGACTGGTGGGAACGTCTGGTGGAAACATCGGGTGGGAACGCCTGGTGGGAACGTCTTGTGGGAACGTCTGGTGGGAACGTCTGGTGGGAACGTCTGGTGAGAACGTCTGGTGGGAACGTCTGGTGGGAACGTCTGGTGGGAACGTCTGGTGAGAAAGTCTGGTGGGAACGTCTGGTGGGAACGTCTGGTGGGAACGTCTGGTGGGAACGTCGGGTGGGAACGCCTGGTGGGAACGTCTGGTGGGAACGTCTGGTGCGAACGTCTGGTGGGAACGTCTGGTGGGAACGTCTGGTGGGAACGTCTGGTGGGAACGTCTGGTGAGAACGTCTGGTGGGAACGTCTGGTGAGAACGTCTGGTGGGAACGTCTGGTGGGAACGTCTGGTGGGAACGTCTGGTGGGAACGTCTGGTGGGAACGTCTGGTGGGAAACCACGTCCGGTATTTTATCTATAATTTTATCCAATGTATATGATAAAATCCAAGATTTTTGAATAGATTACAAGTTCTTGGATTTTATCCAAGAACCTGGATATTATTCAAGATCTTGGAATTTATAAAAGATATTGGATGAAATGCAAGATCTTGGATATGTTCAAAAAAATTAGAATTTTTCCAGGATATTGGATAGTATCCAAATCTTGGAATTGATCCAAGATGTTAAATTTTAACAAAGTTCTAGGATTTTATCGATAGATCTTGGAATGGAGTCAAAGTTGTTGGATTTTATCCTAAATCGTGATTAAAATCTAGGTCTTATATTTTATCCAAGATCTTTGAAAAATGTTCAAAATCTAAGAGTATATTCCAAGACCTTGGAAAATATTCAAGATCAAGGAGTAAAGTTCAGGTTCTGGGATAAAATACAAGACGTTGGATTTTATCCATGATTTTATATATTATCCAAGCTCAAGGAATTTGTCCAAGATCTTGTAATTTAAAAAAATAAAAAGTTGGATTTTATCGAATATCTTGGATAAAATCCAACTTCTGGAATACAACTTAATTCTTACATAAAATCCAAGATCCTGGATAAAATAAAGATCTTGGACAAAATCCAAGATATTTAATAAAATCCAAAATTTTGCAATTTATCCAGGATGTGGAATAAAGTCCTAAATATTACGTCCAATTCAGCTTCTTGAATTTTCTAGAAAACTTTAAATTACTCATAATCTTGGAATAAATTCCTAGATCTTGCGTTTATTTCCAGCATCATTGATAAAAATCTGAAAACTTGGATATGGCAGGACATTTATCCAGTCAACATTCGAGTTACTATAAGAGAAATTATTTACGGCACTGGGCAAGCAAAATCCAGAGTTATGTTCCACGTTGCCGGCCGTACCCTCCCACCAGAGGTTGTTTTTGCTGTAAGATTCATACTGGACGGTCAAGTAGGAGGTCTCAACACAGGTAACATTCATCACAGAGAACTATGTAGCAATGCATGTGCACAGAAGCTCAAAGAAACGCATCCAGAACTCCTAGGTGACCTCTCGATTCGGTGCATTCATTACCTATTGCAATTGCATTCCCGCCTTCCAAATCAGAGTGCTGCAAGGAACCTCCCTACTCATCATCCCTTGAAGAAGGAACATTTGCAGTTTGCCTGGAAAATTCGCTCTGGAGTGTTGACTGGAAAAAAGTCAGGTGGACAGTTGAAAACATATTTTAGTGCATTCAAGGTCGTCAAAGTAGGGTGCAGTGCCCCTCCTACATCAGCAGGTACCGCTCTACAAGGTCGTCAAAGTAGGGTGCGGTGACCCACTTGCATCAGCAAGTACCCCCCTACAAGGTCGCCAAAGTAGGGTGCGGTGCCCCTCCTCCATCAGTAGGTACCGCCCTTCAAGGTCGTCAAAGTAGTATGCGGTGCTCCTCCATCAGCAAGTACCGCCCTACAAGGTCGTCAAAGTAGGGTGCGGTCCCCCTCCTGCATCAGCAAGTATCGCCCTACGAGGTCGCCAAAGTAGGGTGCGGTGCCCCTCCTCCATCAGCAGGTACCGCTCTACAAGGTAGTCAAAGCAGGGTGCGGTGCCCCTCCTCCATCAGCAGGTCCCGCCCTTCAAGGTCGTCAAAGTAGGGTGCGGTGCCCCTCCTGCATCAGCAAGTACCGCCCTACAAGGTCGTCAAAGTAGGGTGCGGTGCCCCTCCTCCATCAGCAGGTACCGCTCTACAAGGTCGTCAAAGTAGGGTGTAGTGCCCCTCCTCCATCAACAGGTACCGCTCTACAAGGTCGTCGAAGTAGGGTGCTGTGCCCCTCCTCCATCAGCAGGTACCGCCCTACAAGGTCGTCAAAGTAGGGTGCGGTGCCCCTCCTCCATCAGCAGGTACCGCTCTACAAGGTCGTCAAAGTAGGGTGCCGTGCCTCTCCTCCATCAGCAAGTACCGCCCTACAAGGTCGTCAAAGTAGGGTGCGGTGCCCATCCTCCATCAGCAGGTACCGCCCTACAAGGTCGTCAAAGTAGGGTGTGGTGCCCATCCTCCATCAGCAGGTACCGCCTTACATACACGTGAGGCGTCGTACTTCCTTTTTAATAAAAAAGTTACAATAGATGCTAACTGCTACATTATCATTCTGGAGGACTACCTTCTGAATATTTATGCTAGTGTCCCATGTCACGAGGTCAAAAAATGTACCTTTAGCGGCATCATGAGAAAAATATTAAGTTTTACAGTTGCCAGGAAATAGTCCAGATATCAGTCTTATTGAGAATGCTTGGATCATCATGTTAAAAGATGGAATCCTGCCGCATTTCATCCAGGTTGTGCCTGCAACAAGGGATAAGACATTTAGGTCAACCATTGATTGCTTCAGAAATCTGAGTGAAAGCATATCCAGACACCTCCAGATGGTCATCAAGGCCAAGGGGGAGATAACGAAATATTAATGTAGGTATCCAGTATTACACTTTTTGTTTGTATATTTGTAACAATTATCATAATAATAAAGGAATGGTGAAAATTTCAGACTTATTAGGTGCAAGCATAAGGTCAAAATAATTAAGCCATGAAGATGAATTTAAAATGCACCATTTTGTCATGAAGAGCAGTAGGCAATGTATAGGTGTTCATAGAAATTGGAAGCTGGCATTGGTTACTTCCTGGAAATTTACAATATGTAGACAAATTATAAATTCATTAATAACTAAAACCCTTGTCATTAATGCGCCTGAGTGAGCTATGTTCCATCACCAACACTTTACACTCATGACCAACTTCTGCTGTCCAACTCTAACCTACATTTCTCGTTTTTCACTCTTTTTATAAATCCATCTTCCTCACTCAGGCGGACCCCGGCTGGCTGATTCCCTACGCCCCCCTGGAAGACCCAGAGACGGGTCTAGAGACGGCGATTCTTGGTCTCCGTTTTCCTCTACAGCCCAGACTACTAAGTAGAGGAAGTGTGTCTGTTAAGTGCACCGCTGCCATCTCCAACCTCTACTTTAAAAGTACCGAGGCCTCAATTCCGGCTGACGTTCCTTTCCAAGCCTCCATTATGGAGGGCCGAGCTGCAGCTGGGAGAGGTGAGTAATGGATTGTTGATGGCCAAGCTGAGAGATGGGTTGAACGTGGTGGTGGGTAGGCTAGCGGAGGTAGGCTTATCATACTGGGTTTTGGAGTAACCGAGGTGGATTGTTAAATATATTAAATATAAACAGAGAGGAGCTTTTGAGAAGGTAATAACACTGTTTTATTGTCTGTTCCAGGATGTCCAGCTAGTGCATGCAGTGGCCTCTCTGTAATAACGTCAATTATCCTGCTGATCCTGACTCACTGAAAGGTGAGGTACTACCGTGTGTTTCACATATTATCATTAGGAAAACGCTAATACTAGCTTGGAGAATGGATTTTCAACTCTGCTATGAAGTTTCAGACATCATTCTCATGAACAGGTTGTTTTGGAATAATGTGTGAATTCGAATTTTATTTAGTGTAAATTTGTAAACTTTTTAATGGACATTCAGAGCTTGAAAAGCTTTTGTTTATTGTGGGAAACGAAAGATTTAAGCTAAAATCAGATTTCGTTAAAAAGTTCCATAACATGTGTCGTTCTGACGACTTTTGTTGTACGAAATATGTGACTAAGGTTGTCGATATCCTTATTAAAATGTGTTTTTCTCTTTATAGTTATTATGCAGATGCTCACAGTGACAAAAAATCATTGATGCCAAAATTTACAAGCAGCACAAGACTCTAGCAGTCATTGACAGAAAAGATTTATTTACCTTGTAACTCTGAACTGAAACATTGTATAAATATATTGATACATTGTAATGTGAGTTATATATTTGTTGTACAGTGACATACACAGTTGCATATGTATAAACATTTTTTAATTAGTCCTGTCCAATAAACGAAGCAGCTAATTAAGAATTACATCATTTCAGAAAACTGGGCCTAAATATACAGAAACGTGAGAAATATTCTTCTGTAAATATAATTTGAATGAAATTCGGGAGAAGTAAAAAATGCAGACTAATTACGTGCAACCATAAGGTCCTAATAACTTAAGTGCCATCTTAAGGTCACCAGAATTAATGAGTTCCACTCCAAAATCAACAGACCTTGGCCGCCAGATCAAGGTTAACAAGGTCTGAGTGGCACTTGAAGGTCAACGTAACTTACACGCATCCTTAAAGTCAACATAATACAAGCAGTACTTGAAAGAGAACCTAACTTAGAAGATACTTTGAGGAGAAGAGAACTTTAGTGCTGTCTTAAAGGTCAACAGAACTTGAGCTCAAGAACAACTGGGAATAATGATTTATTCGTTTTTATAAGAAAATATTGAGCAACATGCAAGACTTACCACATTTTTATATAGCAGATCATATTGGTGAGAAATTCTTGCTAGTGAGACACTGAGCGAAGTTGCAACCAGTGAGAAGTTTATGCAAGTGAGAAGGTCTTCCTAGTGAGACATTAGAGCGAAGTTGCAACAAGTGAGAAGTTTATGCAAGTGAGAAGGTCTTCCTAGTGAGACATTAGAGCGAAGTTGCAACAAGTGAGAAATTTATGCAAGTGAGAAGGTCTTCCTAGTGAGACATTAGAGCGAAGTTGCAACAAGTGAGAAGTTCACACAAGTGAGAAGTTCATTCGGGTGAGTAGTCATACTAATGAGAATTTCGTACCAGAGAGAATTATAAACTCTTAGAGAAGTTTGCACTAGTGACGAATTTATACTGGTAAGAAATTCATACTAGTGTGTTCATACATGAGAGAAACCCATACAGAAGTTCATACTAGTGAGTAGTTCATTCTAGGGAAAAGTTCGTACACGGTAGACGCTCATACTAGTGAGAAATGCATATGAGAAGTTCCTTCGAGTGAAAAGTTCATACTAGTATATAGTGAACATTAATCTTGGTAAATGTGAACAAATGTGACGATACTTGCACTCTATGACGTTACTTGCACTGTCTTTATGACGTTACTTGCACTCTATGACGTTACTTGCACTGTCTTTATGACGTTACTTGCACTCTATGACGTTATTTGCACTCTATGACGTTACTTGCACTGACGTTACTTGCACTCTATGATGTTACTTCCACTCTGTGACGTTACTTGTACTCTCTCTATGATGCTACTTAAGAACATAAGAAAGGAGGATCACTGCAGCAGGCCTGTTGGCCCATAGTAGGCAGGTCCTCTCTCAATCAGAACATAAGATGAAATTGAGACACATGTGCAACATCTGGGTATCTTTATTGTAGACGTTTCGCCATCCAGTGGCTTTATCAATACAAATTCCAGGACATAACTTGAAGACAGGAGAACTATGTACAGAAGATGAGGTAATCAGTCCCTCAACCTAGCAGTAGGTGCGAAGAGCACTGTAGTCGTGGAGATTCTGAAGCAGAAGCGAACGAACGAACGAACGATAGTACAGGTAAAATCCCAAATGGGATGAGCGGGAAGACGAGACAGACGAAGAATAGTGCTGGAGAGGAGTGTTCATAGTCATAGAAATAGAGCCAGGGCTTAACCCAGCAGCGAAGGCGATCGTGGGACAGATATAGAGAAGAGAAATTCAGGCTCTTCTATTGGGACTCCGGTGGGGTGAGCGGGAAGGACGGGACAGGCAAAGATTAACGCTAGAGAGGAGTGTAAAATTGAGCCATGTCTTAACCCTAAAGCTAAGGCGAAACCGGGTCAGGGAATGGTACCTGTCAGAGAATCCAAGGTTATTTGCAAATAGGGTTAGGAGGAGGATCATACAAGGAGTAGAAAAGGTTGTGTTGGTTTGTGGGTCTGCGAATGTCTTCAAGGAGAGAGGTCCAGTAGTCATGTCGTGTTTCAAGTTTGTCTATCTGTCTGTCACTGAGCGTCTTCCAGTACAGATTCAGCGCAGGGATGTCTAATTGGCATGGAGAGACTCGCTTGTGGCGAAGTCCTCCCATCTGACATCAAGCACCCAGCGCAGCGCCTTGTTCTGGACACGCTGCAGTTTAAGTAAGTTCGTTTTAGCTGCAATAGAGAGGGCTAGAGGAGAGTAAGTTATCAGAGGACGTATTAGGGATTTGTAGAGGTGTAGTTTGGTGCGTTGGGAGGCATGTTTTAGCTTATAGAGGCCCGCAAAGGCCTTACTAGCTATTGCTTGTCTTGAGTGAATGTGTCCGTGTAAGCGAAGAAGGTAGTCAAGATTAACGCCAAGGACAGTGACAGATTGTGGGAAGGGGAAGTAAGTGCGGGTGTCAGCTGTTCTGAGCTCGACAGGTAATGGAGGATCGTGTTTCCTGTAGTTAAAATATGTAATGCTGGATTTAGCTGCATTGGTTTTGATCCTCCATTTTTGTTCCCAGATGGCTATCCTGTCGACCTTATTTTGTGTTTTGTGTGTGAGTGTATCTATATTGGCAAGAGTGATAAGTTGTGTAATGTCGTCTGCATAGGCTAGTGTGATGGAGTTGTGGTATACAGGTGTTCGAATGTCGTTAGTGTATAAAATGTAGAGGGTAGGGGAGAGGACAGATCCCTGGGGTACTCCAGCATTTAGTGTGAAGTAGTCAGAGTAACACCCTTGGAATTTTATTCTCATGGTACGGCCGTCTAGGAAGTTGCAGGGGAGTTTACTAGTAGTGAGAGGCAGGTTAAAGTTAGTGCAGAGTTTGTACTTGAGCCCTTCGTGCCAGACAGTGTCAAAAGCCTTTTCAACGTTTTTTGCAACCAGGGCTGTCCTGTTTCTTTGTTTTGTGTTTATGTGGATGTAGTTGAGAATGATGCTAATGGCATCCTGTGTGGATCTATGTGTTCTGAAGCCAAACTGGCCATCAGAAAGTAGAGAGTTGTGTTCCAGGTATCTGCGAAGGCGATGGTTGATGAGTTTTTCAAAGAGTTTTCCTAAAGTTTCTAGGAGGCTGATAGGGCGATAGTTTCTAGGATCAGAGTGGTCTTTTTTGGGTTTATGAAGGAGGATAGCAGTAGCAGCTTTGAAGAGGGAAGGGAAGTATCCAGAGGCAAGGGAGGCATTGAGGAGGTTTGTGTAGGCATTAATGATAGTCAGGAAGGTGTTCTAGGATAATATGGTTTAGGCCAGAGGCACCAGGAGCCTTGGGAGGAAGGTGTCTGAGAAGAGTTTTAATGTCTGTGTTGGTGAAAGGAGTGTCGAGTTCTTGGGAGGTGAGAGAGTCTAGATGGATGTGGCTATCTGGTGTTGTTTCTTGTGTGTGTGCAGTGTTCCAGTGTTCTATGTTCTGAATGTGTTGAATAACGTTAGGGTGAGGTAGGTGAGGGTGGAAGATGTTCTCCCAGATGTGTTTGAAGATGTTGGTAGCAGCCTGCAGGTCTGAGATGTGTGTGTTGTGGGTGATGTGTTTGAATTTGTTGGTGGGAGTTGTGCCTCTGATTTTTTGATAAAGTTCCAGAAGGCTTTAGTGTTTTTAATACGCTGTTTGTCTGCTTGTTGTATGAGTCGTGACCAGTGATTGTTGTGGTCTTGGTCTAGGCTGTGTAAAATGTTGTTTCTAAGTGAGATCTAATCGGACTTTATTAAATCTATGTGTGTTGTAGTGCAGTATAACCATAATGGCGGATACGTTGAGGGGCTTTGAGGCAGGTACTGTTTAGCAAAACAATATCTGGCCTCTCTGCTTCAAGGAGCTAGGCCAGTAAGTGTCTAATTGTATAGTAAGAACGCACGTTGAACTGAATCACTTTAAACATGATTTAATGGTTTCGTCAAAGCAAAGTTAATGTCGGGGGAGGAGTTTGGATTAAAGCCCATGATAGTGGTGCCATCGGTGGATGTGTGTTTGTAGGTGTTACGGACCCATTTCCTGGAGGGGGAGGAAGAGATGGATCTGTTTTTATGTTCTTTAGTCTGTATATCAGAAGTTGGGGCAGGTTTAGAGTTGAGTGGATTTCGTTTGGAGGAGGAGTTGGACCTGGATGAAGTCTTGGATGTGGTGGAGGAGGAGTGGGCGATGGTGGATGCAGAGGAAGTGGAAGCTTTGGTAATGGAGGAAGAAGTGGGCAAAGAGGTGGGGGGAGTAGTAGAAGTAGTTAAGAGGGGTGTTGGTAGGAGGGGTAGATGTGAAGAGGGGTAGGGGCTGAGGGGTGTTGGTGGGAGTGAAGTGTGGTAGGGAGGAGGAGAGCAGGAGAGTTTAGGAAGAGGGGGAGTGAGAGAGGTTGTAGGGGGGTTAGAAGAGAAGCAAAAAGGAGGGATGATTAGAGAGGGAAGATTGTTAGCAGACAAGATTAGGTTAAGGACATGTGAGTAGTCTGGTAAGCTTGAGAGATTACCATCGCAGAGTGGGCAGCAGTGGCGAGTTGACAGTTAGTTTTGTAGTCTAGTGTGGGTGTAGGCATAGATGGAGAGGTGTTTGTAGTTTGTGTGTTGGTGTTTGATGTGTGTAGGGTAGATGAGGTAGACCAAGTGCGTGGGGAGGCCCTTGCATCGGGGGTGGGGGAGGGCAGTTTGGTAGGAGAGGGAGGTACAGGGATTGGGTTGGGGAGGGAGGAGAAAATGTCTTTTCTAGAGGGGGAGGAATTTGCAACTGCAGTGTGTGACCCGCCACAGTTAGAACATTTAAGGGAGAGGTTGCAGGTATTCCAGAAGTGGCCAGTTGCTGAACATCTGGAGCAGACTTGTGTAGATGTGCATGTGTTTTTGTCGTGGCCGAATTTGTAGCATTTAAGACATTGTGTGATTGGGTGGAAGTTCGGAGTGAAGAGAGCGTTTGGAGGAATGCGGATGGTCTTGGCAAAGATTTCTTGACTGAAGAGTGTAGAGGCTCCAGAAGGAGTAGAACAGCGTATTTTGAGAATGGTAGAGTTTTCCGGTCTGTTAATATCGTCAGCAGAGACTTTGTTCTTAGTACTGATGTCTTTTATTAAGTCTTCTTTGTCTGTATCATAGGCTGTCAGGAGAGAGAAGTCTACGTGTTTAACAATGACTGTACTTTTGGCACTGTGCTCAGCAGTCCAAATAATGGTGAAGCCTGCGTTGAGAAGTTTTTGTCTGGTATCGGTTGAGGTGTACGTTTCGTAGGAATGTTTGCCAAGAAGGAGTTTGAAGCCTGAGTTGGTTTTAAAGACTTTAAGTTGAGGTGCACCAGTGATCTGATATAATAAATTTTTAGGACAGATAGTGGCATCAGGATTAGAGAATTTGAGGTTCAGAGAGAAGGAATTGGAAAAGTTTAGGAAGACCTGACATTCAAAATCTTTCATCTCGTCCACTGTCAGCCATAGAAACCGAAGCCCTCAGCTTAGGCCTCAAATTCGCAACAGGAATTACAAAACCAAAACAAGACCTCAATTTCATCGCCAAAAACTACAGACACAATGATTCCGACTTCCAAAAAGGTTATCTTCAAGGCATCATCTCAGCAACCATCTCTACACGCAGCTCCCCAGTCATACCTCGACGTTACATCATTGCACTTAAAGGTTTAGCAGAAGACACGACCATCAGGGTCACCACCGCTGATAAAGGAGGTGGTGGTGTTATCATGAACACTGACGACTACAGGAACATAATGCTCAATCTACTTAATGACCCAGATACCTACAAACCCCTCACAACTAACCAAGTGGACAACCTTACTAAAACTTTTCTTCAAAGGACTTGCTGCATTCTGAGGAACTCAGAACAGGGGAAGAAACTTCTGCACACCATACCC